CTTTGGATGGCGGTTCCCAGCAAGGCGGTACCTATCTTTTCGCCAATCGTGTATCGTCTGATGCCCGCACTGATTCTGATGGCCGAACCGATGAATTAATTAAACGATTTTGGGAAGTAGAAAGTTTTCCAGACCCTGTTGCTAAAGCAACAAAGGAAGAGCTTGACTGCGAGAAGCATTTTGTTAAGAATTTCCAAAGGTTGCCAACAGTAGCATAATCCGTGCGACTCCCTATCAAATTTACGCTGGATCAATTAGCTGAAGAAACAGGCATTTCGCAGATTTATATCGCTTGAGAGAAAGTTGCATCGTCATCCCAACCTTAAATCCAAGTATTGCGCGTTCATTCAAGAGTATATGGAGCTCGGACATATGACTCTTGTCCCTCTAGATTCGTTACGTTTATGCAAATATTTTCTCCCTCATCATTGCGTGCTGAAGGAACAAAGCACGAGCACCAAACTTCGTGTCGTGTTTGATGGTTCAGCTATCACCAGCACTGGATGTTCGCTGAATGAAGTGTTGATGGCTGGGCCCGTCATACAACCGAAGCTGTTTAACATTTTGATGCGATTTCGCACGTTCCCTGTTGCCCTTACTGGAGACATTGGCAAGATGTATCGCTGTGTCAGAGAAACGTTCCCAGATAACTACCTACAATGCATCTTGTGGCGAAATTCTACTGATTCTGAAATAAGTGTCTTCAAGTTGGACACAGCAAGGACACACAGCAATGCAGCAATTGGCTGTCGCCGAGCAACATTCATTTCCAATTGGTGCGAAAATTCTTCGACGCGCTTTCTATGTAGATGACCTTATATCTGGCGGTGGCTTGGTCCAAGAGGCGATCGACGTATTAAATCAAACAAAGGGCATCGTTATGGCCAAAATCTTAATGCAGCTTCTTTTGAAGGAAAACTTGGATTGGGATGAGAGTCTGCCAATTTCTCTAAATACTGCCTGGGAGGAACTTTGCCAAACTTTTAGGAATGTCCAATCCACCTTTCGCCGGTTGGTTTGCAATACAATGTGCGATGTAGAGGTTCACGGTTTCTGTGACGCTAGCATTACCGCGTACGGAGCTTGCATTTTTGTGGTTTCAAACGGACATCATTCGAGTTCACGCCTATTTTGTTCTAAATCACGAGTGGCTCCACTTAAAACTCTTACGGTACCAAAACTCGAGCTTTGTGGCGCACTTTTGTTAGCCCAATTGATGCAGGAAGTAGCTGAAATGAACTTATTTACCGGTGCATTCCATTATTGGTCAGATTCATCAATATGTCTATCATGGATCCGAGATGAATCGTCGAAATTCAATGTATTCGTTGCAAATCGGATAACCACCATCCAGGAACTCACAGCGGGATTCCAGTGGCATTATGTTCCAACAGCCAGTAATCCAGCTGATATTCTCTCCAGAGGGGCCACTCCTAACAAGCTTATAAAGTCAAAACTTTGGTCATGTGGTCCTGAATTTTAGACTGGTTCGCAATGGTGCTGGCCTGCGACTTGTCTTCTTGAAAAACCAATACTGGAGTTACACAAAAGAGTGTTTCTCATCACAGATCCTGCAGATGATGCCATATTAAGGTGCAAATATATGAATTCCTTTTCTGCTATTCAACAAGTATTTGCCTATGTGTACAAGTTTATCCATCGTATTCGGCGCCCCGGACTTTTGATCTCCGACGCACGTTTTGCACGTTTTAGATCCTTTATACTTTTACGTAACGTTCAAAAGGGCTCTTTTTGGGAGGATAGAGAAAGAACGTGCAATCAAAGGGCATGGTCGCTCGTTCCAGTATACTCTCATCATTATTGCCCTTTTAGGATGAATTTGGTATTCTTCGAGTTGGTGGGCGCTTCGAAAAGTCAACCCTTCCTTATGAGGCCCGTCATCCTATTATACTGCATAGACAAGATCCAGTTACCATCGCCATTGTCACTCACTTTCATAAGCGTAATCTCCATGCTGGATTCGTCTGCAATATTGGCCGATTGGTGGCCGCAAATCAGTTTCGAGCATTGTAAACAAATGCATCACATGTTTCCGGAACAAGCCACGCTTGGTGGAGCACGTAATGGCTAATCTTCCAAAGGAGCGATATGTTGAAACTCAAGCGTTGATATAAATGGTGTAGACTTTTGCGGACCATTCTTCTACAAGCCTGACACTCGAAACAAAGCTCCTATAAAATGCTACATCAACAAATTTATTTGCTTCGCCACGAAAGCCATTCATTTGGAGTTGGTCAAGGATCTATCTACGTGTGCATTTCTCAATGTTCTAAAGCGCTTTATATGCACTCGTGGGAAGCCACGTCAGATTTGGTCAGACAATGCCACCACTGTGCTGTGTTGGATCTAAAAAATCTCTTCCTTAGTAGCTGTCAGTTTTGCTTGGCGGACACAATTGACTGGCGCTTCATTCCACCGCGCACCCCTCAGTTTTGTGACCTTTGGGAGGCGGCGGTAAAAACTGCAAAACATTAATTCTATCAGGTTGTGAGGTCAACTGTTCTGGGATTCGAAGAGCTTCGTACCCTTGTGTGCCACATAACTGCAGTCATTAATTCTAGACCACTGCTTCCTATTTCAGAAGATCCAGAAGACCTTGATGTTCTTACCTCTGCTCATTTTTTGGTTGGTGGCCCACAAGCCACGTTTACAGAACCAGATGTGACACGGCTCAATTTTAATCGTCTGGACAGCTGGCAGCGAGTGTCCTACATGCACCAAGTCTTTTAGTCTCGCTGGCGAGAAGAATATTTAAATCTTCTGCAACAGCGTTCAGAATGGCGGACTCCCAAGCCAGGTGTGGCTCTCAATGACATCGTTCTTATCAAAGACGAGAACTTACCTCCTTTGAAATGGCCACTAGCTAGAGTGGTCAAAGGAACTGAAGACATCACACGCGTTGCAGTTCTCAAGTCAGCTAATGGAATCATAAAGCGAGCAACTAATAAGATAATAATAATAAAAAAAGCTTGTTAGCCCAACATTTCCTATGGCAGCTATTTGACATAGTGGTCCGATCACAATAGGATTTTGCTTATATATGAGGAGTATAGTAAAACTAATAAATGCCGAGTTTGGTCAAGATATCTTAAGAGACAACATTTTTCTTCATACAATTTAATTTTCGACCGATCGTTCCTATGGCAGCTATATGATTTAGTGGCCCGATCCAGCTGGTTTTGACATATGTGCTGCGTGCAACAGAAAGTTTCATTAAGATAGCTTTAAAGCTGAGGGACTAGTTCACATAGAAAGAGACATACGGACAGATGGTCAGACGACGGACGGACAGACGGACATGCCTATATCGACTCGGCTGTTAATGCTGATCAAGAATAAATATACTTTACTTTCACGACAAAATTATAATACCATCTGCAAGGGTATAAAAAGTACACTTTGGTTTTAATTATAGTATGGGAGTTCTTGGACTGATTGGGGCTTGCTCCAAGAATAAATTAATCTTCTACCAACTTTAAGGTGTACTTGAATTAGGATCAGAAAATCTTGATCTTAATTAAAGACCAAAATGTGATTAATTCAAGTATCTTGGGTCATAAATTTAGTATGGCTTAAGTTCGGGAGCTCTATAGAAGCTTATTTTTATCTCAAATTTCGATTGTATTCAGAACATATGAGTTGTTATATTAACAATCAATACAACTTGATTCAATACTATTCCGTCCTTAAATTCAGCGCAATAAGTCTGAACAAGTAAGAGATTCTAGTGAGGAGCTCCCGACTAGGGGATACCCTGAACCCTCTTCTTCCAACATCAAATGCATAAATATATTCTATTATAGAAGCTTTATTTCAAAAAACAGGATATCGAAATAGATTTTTATCGATTGCTTGGAAACGGAGTAAGTTATCGATTATCGGAAACAAACTCGATCTGCGCGGGAGCTAGGAGCATCTACATCTAAAATTTCTCTAGCTCTTATAGGTTCTGAGATCCTTGCGTTCATACATACGGACGGACGGACGGACGGACAGACAGACGGACATGACTAGATCGTCATGACTATTGATGCTGATCAACAATATATATACTTTATGGGGTCGGAGATGCTTCCTTCTGCCTGTTACATACATTTGGCTTTCGCACAAATACAATATACCCTTATACCCATTTTTAATGGGTTCAGGGTATAAAAAGGTTTTTAATCAAAAACCTGGATTTCGACCGATTGCTCTTATGGCAGATATATATATGGCAGAATTTTGAATATATAAAAGGAGCAAAGTTACACTAATAAATGCCGAGTTTAAGCAATATATCGTGAAAACTAAAAATTTGTCCATACAACATAATTTTCGACCGGTCGTTCCTATGACAGCTAGTGGTCCGATCTTAATAGAACTTTGCATATATATGAGCAGCATAGTAAAACTAATAAATGTCGAGGATAGTCAAGATTTCCTGAAAAACAATTTTTTTCATACAACAACTTAATTTTCGACCGATCGTTCCTATGGCAGCTATTTGATATAGTGGTCCAATCTTAATAGGATTTTACATATACATGGGGAGTATAGTAAAACTAAGAAATGCCGAGTTTGGTCAAGATATCTTGATAAACAAAATGTTTTTTCATACAATAATTTAAATTTCGACCGATCGTTTCATTAAGATAGCTTTAATACTGATAAGACTAGTTCGCATAGAAACAGACAACAGACATACAATATACCCTTACAATCATTTTTAATGGGTTCAGGGTATAAAAACATACCAAACAATGCTTAATTCAAGAATGCAATGCTTTGTGCTAGCCAGATTAATGTTTGATTCTTCCACATGTTTATACTTTGTGTTGCTTCCTGCCCACTTAGAAAGCACGCTAACTTGTCTTTACCCATTTATGTTGTCATCAACCTCCTGAAGTTTAAAAAGCCATTTTTGATGTTGACGTCACTTCATTTCCTTAAAGTTTGATTTATAAAGTTGATTAAGACATGTTGTGTCCTACTTTGGAATTTGATTCAATATAAATAATTTACAGCTTGAAAAATTTATGGGACCATCGATAGCGAGTGTTGTACACAGCCGATATCCTGGCTGATCGGGAGGCAGTCAAAATTGATGCTGTTAGCAAATGGTCTAAAGGCGTCCATCTTTGGGGTCCCGCCAGCAGGAGCAACCTCAGCATGATTCAGCTTTTTCGAATTTTATCTGCCAGCTAAATATTGCTTGGTTAAAGGAGGTAAGTTAAGTGATCGCTACATCGCCAGGGCAACAACCCAAACAATCTCGCCACCAACCTATTGGACGATATACGGGTCAAAAGAACACACCCCCTTGACATCCTCCAAAGAGTAGATGTTTACCTCTACCGAAATGATTTAATTATTGTCCAAAAAACGGGAAGATTTTAATGGTCAGGTGGTTTAATGCCAAGTGACCGGACGTATGCTGTGTGTAATTATTATGCCTTCTGCATTCCATGCTGGTTCGCTATATATATTTCTTATGTTAATGCCTTCTGTATAAACATATATACAGAGTACATAGAAAATGAACAATTTGGATTTAGCTTAAGCTCTTTCCATGTATCGAATAAGAATTCAGATTAAAGATAGAACCTAAACAGAGCATGGTTGTCATCACTGTGTGTGCAATTCAAGAACAATATAAAACGAGAAAGAAATGATATCTTCGGCACGCCGAAGATCTAATACCCTTGCAGACCCAACCTTTTCATAATGCTTATAGAACCTAAGAAGCACAGGGAAAATAGTTAATGCCGAGTTTGGTCAAGATATATTGATAAACCAAACAGGTTTTTAATCAAAAGCCTAGATTTCGACTGATCGTTCCTCTGGCAGATATATGATATAGTAGTCCGATCTTGATAGGATTTTGCATATATATGAGTAGTATAGTAAAAATAATTAATGCCGAGGTTGGCCAAGATATCTTGAAAAACAAAATGTTTTTTCATACAAAAACTTAATTTTCGACCGATCGTTCCTATGATATAGTGTACCGATCTTATTAGGATTTTGCATTTATATGATGAGCATAGTAAAACTAGTAAATGCAGAGTTTGGTCATGATATATTGATAAACAATGTGTTTTTTCATACAAAAACTTAATTTTCGACCAATCGTTCCCATAGCAGCTATATGATATAGTCGTCCGATCCTTATAGGATTTTGCCTATATATTAGGAGTATAGTAGAACTAATAAGTGTTGAATTTGGTCAAGATATCTTAAAAAACAACATTTTTATTTACAACGTAATTTTTGACCGATTGATGGCAGCTATATATGATATAGTGGTCCGATCCAGCTGGTTTGACATATGTGCTGGCTGCTACAGCAAAAGGGACTTCTGCAAAGTTTGATTAAGATTAAGATTAAGCCTTAAAACTGAGACTATTTTGCATAGAAACAGACACACGGACGGAAGGTTAGACGGACATGGCTATATCGACTCGGTTGTTGATGCTGATCAAGAATATATATACCTTATGGATTCGAAGATGTCTCCTTCTATGTATATTAATAAAGAAAATCTTATTTTAAAACTAAATGAATCTGAATTAAAGACCAAAATGTAATAAATTCTAGCAAAATACTTGAATAATTCACATTTTGGTCTTTAATTATGATTTTTGTCATAACTTTAGTATGGTTTAAGTTCGTGAGCTCTTGAATCAAGAAATATTCAAGCTTATTTCAAGCTCAAACTGCAATGTGTTCAGAACATATTGGTCTTATATTAATCATCAATAAAAATTGATTCAATACCATTTCTTCCTTAAATTCAGCGCAATAAGGCTGAAAAAAATACTAATCAATGCTTGATTCAAGAATTTTCTTACTTAAAAATTAATACTTGAAATAAGAATTTCATATTTGAATCGAATATTACCGGTCTTACCTTACTGTTATGAACGGGTTGTCTTGATTCAAGTACGAAATTCTTGATATTTTCTCTCTGTTTAGCGTTCTGAAAATGCCAGTATGATCTCCTTGTATGGGGTCGTCATGATATGTAAACAGTAACGCTTCTTGATCTTTTTCATTTTCTATTATGGTCACCGGCTTGAGTAGCGCTTTTCGTTATGATTTTAAAAAATTCAATTGAAATTAATTCAAATATCTTTTCGCCGTGTCAGCTTTAGTATGCTGATCTCATGTGTACCGGCTTCTTTTTCAAGCCTTTGGAAAAACTAACCAAAGTCATATGTTCCATTGGTGTACAGATCGCTAACATTAATACTTACTATAACTTTTTTTTTCCAATTTTAAAGAATTATATATTATTTAATATCAGCAAGGCCACTACTTTTCGTGCTTCATCATTACAAATGACTTCATATACGTTGGGCTTAGAAGCATTGTGCTTAGGAAAATTTACTTGATCTTTTCCTGCGCAGGAGTTTTTCTGATTACTTTGGTGCCTGGTGACTTTCAGGTCTTTAACTTGTAAGTCTTTGAGTTCTTGAATGGTTATTCTTGATAACGACTCATGATAACGATAATCATGTGATTATCCTTACCCTTAAGATTCATATTCTTCTAATTCTTATCTCATTCGTGTTTTTAGCTTGGGTTAACATAGAGAATAAGTAAGCTAACGGTCTGTGATCTGTTTATACTGTGAAATGTTTGCCAGAAATGTATGGAAGAAAGTGTTTTATTGCCCAGTGGACCGAACTTCAGTATACAAGATTAAAATATTGAAGTATTAGCGGATTTATTTGGTACTGGAATAGCTACAAGATATTTTGTTAAGTAGCATATAAATGTGATTGCATATTCGTTACCATTTTTAGATTTTGGTAGCGGACCTATAGTATCCACTGTCACTCTGTCGAACGCACTTATAGGTGTTTCTGTTATGTTCGGGTGCTTTTGTGTGGGTGGTTGGTTTTTGACTTTTTGCATTTAAAACATCTACGTATGTTCTTGGATATATGACGTGTCATATTTTGCCAGTAATAGTGTCTTGTTATTATAGCTACACAGAAAGAAAAACGGCAGGCTACTGACAAGAATTTTCGTACTTGATTTTACACCAACAAATTCGGTACGTTTTGAGCCCGAATCGAGCTAAAAATTCTTGGCTTAAGTATAATTCGTACTTAATTTCAGATAAGCTCGGAAAGGTCTTAGAATAAGTACTAATATTCTTGAGTCAAGTACAAAACAGTTATTTTAAGAAATAACAAAAATTAATTCGAGATATGAAAATCTTGAAAACCTGGAGAGCCCAAAAAAATTTGAGAGAGAATTGGCATGCGCTCGCTCTCTCAATTTTTTTCTAACTCTTGCTGAAGCCGACTCGTGGCATTTCAAGTGAAGAGTTCTACCAGTGTAAACGTACAAATGTACGCGGAAAAGAATGCGACAGTGCTGGACAGGAGGCATCGTGAGCTTCTTAAGTAGTTTGGTTTTGGAGCAGCTGCTTTCTTATTTACAGGGTAAGTAAGTACAAATATACGTATGTATGATATATTTACATAGATAATACACATGAGTATATACATGTATGTAGATACATATGTATCATACATATGTACATTTTTTTTTTGCAAGTGACACGGCGTTATCTCGACGGCGGCGTCTGCTATTTTCTACCAAGATTAATTTTGTTACGATTCGCCGTCGTTGAGACGATTTGTGTGTGTTTGTATGGATGGAGGCTGAACGCTTCCGATTTATTTGAATCCAAGATTCGAACTGAAGTACAATTGAGAACGTATGCTGCAAGTCAGCTATGGTAATGATAAAGCTTATTCTCTTAAAGCTCAAAAGCTCGCGGTGATCTTATGCTGCGAATCAACTGTGTTTATGCTAAATCTTCTTTTCTTAAAGTTTAAAAGCTAACGGGGGTGGCTTGCGTAAGTTAGACGCTTTGAGTCATGTTTACGTTAGCAATTGCGTTCTAGAGACTGGGTCTTTGGTTTACGTTATAAATTGCGCATGAGAGCGCATGAGAATATGAATCTTTATGTTAAGTGGTTGCGCTGTTATATTTATGTTAGAGCCGAGAATCTGCATATTTATGTTAGTAGAGCTGCAGCTATGCGTTAAGTGGACGTAGTGATTGAAACGGGTCTAATAAGTCTGAAAGGACTAAGTAATTGGGATGGCGACTTATACTGAAATGTTGTTTATGATTGCAATAAGAATTGCCTTGCGGGCTGGGTGATAACTCCTTCCTTTCTTAAAAAGAATCGACCCCGATTCTTAATGATTTCTTTTTAAAGTTTCAATTTGTTCGTTTAATTGGTTTAATATGTCAAGCTCTGTTTCTGTAGTTTGAGTGTTATGGTACTTTTGATAACTTGACGATTTCAATTTTAGTATTTTAAGGGGGATTTATATTTATTAAAGGGCAGCGTTTAAGAAGCTTTACCATAATAAAAATAAAAATTATTATGGATAATAAAAAGGTTATTTTTGAATGATTACTTTCTAATTTTATAACAATTTTTGATAGTATATTAGTATTTTCTAATTGACGTTCAGTATTATTAGTAAATTGATATTCACTAACTAATTAGTTTGTGAATTTATTGTGTTTTACATAATTAAGAATTTTTTCTTTTACATTGGTGTAGGTAACATTGTTTAGGGTTACTATGGTTTTAAATGTAACAAGGTAAATGCCTGTAAGCTAGGTTTTTTCATACAAAAAGTTAGTTTTCGACCGATCGTTCCTATGGCAGCTGTATGATGAAGTGGTCCGATCTTAATATGATTTTGCATGCATATGAGGAGTTTAGTAAAACTAATAAATGCCGAGTTTGGTCAAGATATCTTGAAAAACAACATTTTTTTCCATACAACAACTTAATCTTTGACCGATCGTTCCTATCGCAGCTATCTGATATAGTGGTCCGATCTTAATAGGATTTTGCGTATATATGAGCAGTATAGTAAAACTAATAAATGCCGAGTTTGGGCAAGTACCGGGAAAATAGTAAATTCCGAGTTTGGTCAAGACAACTTGATAACCAAAAAAGGTTTTTAATCAAAAACTTGGATTTCGACCGATCGCTCTTATGGCAGATATATTATATAGTTGTCCGATGTTGGTAGAATTTTACATATATATGAGCAGCATAGTAAAAATAATAAATGCCGAGGTTAGTCAAGATTTCTTGAAAAACAATTTTTTGCATACAACAATTTAATTTTCGACCGATCGTTCCTATGGCAGCTATTTGATATAGTGGTCCAATCT